TGGGAGCTTAAGAACAAAAAAAACTAATTCAGTATTAATTGTTCGCGATCACAACTCGACTTTCAAACATGCAGAGCCATGAACGTCGAAAAGCCGTCTTATGGGTGAGTCTCAGTTTTCTTTTCACCTGCAGTTTTCATAAGCAAATTGCATCTTTCGCAGTTGAGTGCTTGAAGATTTCTAGTTGGCTCAGAAAAATTTCGAAAAAAGCAGCATAATTTCTTTTGGTTCTGTCTCTTTTATAAATGCAACTTCACTACATGGGCCGGGGTTTACTACGACTCTCGATCCCACTCGATCCACTTGTTCTATCATATCTTCGCATGAGCGAGGAATATATAGGAATACATCTGAAAATGTAATTTCAGAAGATATGGCCATCGTCAGGGATACTGCTTGCATCATGCATGAAAATGGTGTCTGTATAAAATGCTATCTAAACCAGTTCCCTACTGTCTCAGCAACATGAAGTTTGGGCTCTCTAACAAGCGATTATAAAAGGCCTTTTCAAAATCTGTTGTTTCAGTACCACTTCCTGCTTTTACAATTCTGTAAAGAATAAGGGAAGGCAACATGTATATGAAGTGCCATGAGCTCCTCAACGTTCTAGCCATTTTTGCAAGTTAAAAACGAAACCGGATCGCTCCGGAAGCTGGGAGCATAAATACACCGTGGAGAAGACCCTGCCTTGATGATTTCCAATCACTCTTAGAGCCGTTTTTTGGTGTTCTTGCGCTCTCCAGTGTGGATTTTCGGATTCAGCATAGCTTATAAGCCCGGGTAAGCGCAATTCAAAATTGACTTTCTGCCCAGACACTGCCTTCAAACATTAAAGTGTACGGCTGGAACTTGTCATCGTCCCTTTGAAATGCTTATTTTGCCCGCTTTTTTTGAACTGTAAATATGGAAGGTGCTCGGAATCATAGAATAAATACTTGCAAAAATTATCAAGGTGGCGGTTGTAGAAAAGCCAGGGTAGCCACATTGTTGCACCCGCTTTGCTCGAAAGTTTGCAAGGAAGTCTGAATAGGCGGATGGCACCAACTCTTAGGCTATTTTGAGGGCATCATGATATCAACATGACAATCCAAGTATGTATACCTATCTGTTTGGCTCCTTGAGCTCTTCAGCGGTTCTAAAGGTACCACTGGCAAATTGAGCTATACTGGAAGCGCCTACGGTACTTTCACAGTATAAAGAATCTAAGCTAAAGCTGTACAGAATGGACAGATATGCCAAAGACCTTGAGGCAAGAAAGTAATTGTTCAAAGAAGAGAGTATATACATTTGGCTTTGAACAAACTTTAAGTTGAACATAAAGCAGCCTTATATCAAAGAAGATTGTGTTCTACACAAAAAAGATTTCAACGTCTTTTATTTTAGTTTTTTAGTGCAAGCGAAGGCTCATATCACAGTGATAGTGGTTATATGTATTGAGTTTGTAGAAGCAACCACTGTGGAACAGAAAATTGCGTACGCAGAGATTCTGAAATGAGAATCGATTGAATTGAAACACGTTTGCTTTATTAGATGAAGAAATCATCTAGTTAACTTATTGCTTTCTGTCAAAATACCAAGAGTTAGGATATGTTGACACAATATGATAATAGTTCTAAACATTCATTTCATACCTATATGTATCTTGCATACTTTCCTTGGAAGAAATAATGAATACCACAAAGATTCGAAGCGGGTTGCAAATACCAGTCGCAGATAGCGTATGACTACATATCAAAGTGACTAGGGCATTATAAGATGGAGGTTCCATTCGCATTGGTGCATCAACACGATCAAAGAAGAGATGGGTTTTTTGTAACAAATTTTATTCTACTCTCGCAGTGGCCACGTGCTCAGAAATTCAAAGAGCTTTTCTCAATTAAATTTTGCAAAAACTGGGGGTCATGCTCTTCCTAGGATCAGCCGTGCAAAATTAGCAGCTTTCGCTTGTCAATTTTGTGAATGAAAAGTTGAGAAACTTGACAGTTAAATCAATCGTCGGAGAATCGGAGATGTAGGGCATAGAAATGTGTTGCTCGCTATCCTTTTGCAGGTGGACCAACTCATTTTTAGATAGTACCCTTGTTTGTAATGATAAATGAAATGCATTACAAACGTTATTCTAGTGTTCGGGTAAGCGGTCCTAAAATTATGGCTAAGATGAAAAATTTTTCCGTATAAGCAAACATATGGTTTGTCTTCAGCTGCTGGTCTGCTTCAGTTTGTGATGCAGAACCACACACAGCAACAACCACAACAACGCAGCTACTTCGAACCATGAAAATTCCGAGAAAAATTGTAATATCTCTAAGACCTTCAACTGGTTCGAGGTAGGCTTGAGTTTGATATGCAGTATATCTTGGAATATTCGAAATTTTCTCGAATAATTGCGAAATAATTGAATATATTAGGTTGTCCGGAAATTGATGCCCGTTTTGAATTTCAACCGCAATAAGTCATAACTTCTCATTTCTAAATAGGTTGCAAAGTACCATTCGATAGAACAAAGCAAGCTCTACAAGATGGCCTTCTTGCTTTTGCAACAGCTCTCACCCACCTCGAGTTTCGAGCCAAAAACTAAAAAGACTCAGCAGCCCGAAAAATCGAAAAAAATCGTAACTCAGTTCATAAAATTCCTACAAGAGTTCTTACTTGCTCACGTAAACACTAGCCACATAAAACATCTATATACGCCTTTGCCGCATTTTTTTCTCTGTTAGAAATCAAGGAAAGGAAAATTTTCATGCATTTGCCAAAGTGATACTGTGCCGTTCCCACATAAGTAGTTCTACACTACAGACCTGTAGAAGTACAATCGTAAATTCTCAGCTCTCTACAAGCTTTAGTTCTCGAGAAATTTGAATTTTAGCTTGAACCAGCTAACTAGGGAAAGCTATATTCGGTAATTCTCGAAAACTAAAGCTTGTAGAGAGCTGAAAATTTGAGTCTGTACCCCTACGGGCTTGTGGTGTACAACTACCTATGTGAGAATGGCTCAGCATCACTTTGGCAAATGCACGAAAATTTCCGTTTTCTTGGTTTCTAACAGAGAAAAAAATGCGGCAAAGGCGTATATAGATGTTTTATGTGGATAGCGTTTACGTGAGCAAGTAAGAATTTTTGTAGGATTTATATGAACTGAATTACGATTTTTTTCGATTTTTCGTGCTGCTGAGTCTTTTTAGTTTTTGGCTCAAAACTCGAGGTGGATGAGAGCTGTTGCAAAAGCAAGATAGCCCTCTTGTAGAGCTTGCTTTGCTCTATCGAATGGTACTTTGCAACCTATGTAGAAATGAGAAGTGTATGACTTATTGCGGTTGAAATTCAAAACGGGCATTAATTTCCGGACAACCTAATATTAGGTTGGTGCAGAAGTTCTTTCGCACCCAATTCAAAAATTCATAGAATCCTCAACGAATCTGCAAGTTCGAAATTTTGTTTAAGAGAGGAACTCATGCTCTTTGCAAATGTACTTGAAATGTTCGTTAGTGTGTACAAATGAAGGAGATAGAAGCTCAAAATCAAAATCGCTTAAAATTATTTTCCGTATATGAATAAAATAAGAGGATAAAGGATTCGGCGTCTTCAATACCCTTCGAGGGCATGCGCCGAACGCACGCACTAACTTCATGGTCGAAGAGGCAACTGTATGCGTGCGAGCCTATTACAGTGACTTGCGGGGGCCACCCGTTTCCAAGTCAGTGCTTTTATCCTCCCAAATTGCTCTGGTACCAATTTACCGGCCCCGGAGGGTAGAGGGCTTGGTTGGCCCAGGGGAGGGGATCGAACCTGTGTCCGATCTGGTCATAACGGCGCCTCATACCACTACGCCACTCGTTTCCTAATTTTTCGTGTAGGGTCATAAAAAATCGGAAACTTGCAACAAAAATCGGAGCAGTTGGTATTGTAGGCTCTTTCACCAGCTCTTTCTAACTGTGCAAAATTTGCGCTGATTGAGCGTCTCTATGAAAAGTTACGATTTTTGAGCAAGCAATACAAAAGGGCGAATTTGGTTTATTTTGGCATTTTTCAGGGAAATCGCAACTTTTCATAGAGACGCTCAATCAGCGCGAACTTTGCATAGTTAGAAAGAGCAGGTAACAGAACCTACAATACCGACTGCTCCAATTTTTGTTGCAAGTCTTCGATGTTTATGACCCTACACAGAAAATTCGAATTTTGACCGATTTTTTTCTATCGCTCCTATCTATGCAACAGATGATCACTGTAAGCATCTAAGATGTCATTATAAAGAGCATTGCTTACTCTTTTATACAAAAATAGAAGTAGTCAAATCGGTTGGAAAAATTAGAAGTTGTGAATTTTTGAAAATCGTGCGCAAGAATCCTCAGGACAACCTAATATTCGAAAAAATATTGAATAATCGAAATTCGAATATTATCAAAAACAAAAAATGTCGAATATCCAGAAAATCGATAATTTCGGAAATCAAAAACGCCGAATAAACAAATAACGATTATTTCTGAAACAAAAAAAATTGCCGAATAACCGAATATCGAAGGTCTTCGAAATGAAAAAATTGCGAGTGATTGGATATATTCGAGAGAAAATTCGACTAAACGAATACTTTGCATTGACTATGCCGAATATTAAAACAAATTCTGATCAAATTAGCACAATGAAAGACTCCACGTAACAACATACGATATTTGCCGATATAGCAATCAAAATGTGAAGTTATTATGTATCGAATAATTACTGAAGGTAGATATTTAAATGTTCGAGTATAATCCAACATCAAAAATTCCGATTAACCGAATAATCAAATGTATTCGTATTTAACAAATTAAGCGGATATCAAACATATTCGACATTTCAATTTTTCGAATTATTGAATTTCGAATAGATTTTATTCGAATACTTAAATATATATTCAATCCGGTCCAAATACAGCGTGCTGGCCAACTGTCTAGAGTAATTTAAGATCACTGATACCAGAAACTTTTTTGTTAATGTAGCAAAAGTCGTGAAGGTTTCTCACCTCAAGTCTTTCGTGGAACAACTGTAATGTTTTTCTGGGTTGTTTCTAAACAAAGTTTTAGATCCTGTCACAATTAAACACATGTTTCCATGCAAGCAGGTGCACTCACCAATACGAGGAGTCAGCGACTGCGTTGGATTTGTTACTAACTTCTTGGCTTTCTCGTCTTTAACATCTGGATTCTTCTTTGCTTCTTCTTTCTTAACTTTTTGCTCGTCACCCTCTTCTTTCTTTTCAACGTCCCTTTCCTCTCGTTCTTTCTTTTCTTTTTCTTCCCCCTTATCGTCCTTATCAACTTTTATTTCAGAGTCTTTTTTCTGCGCTTTTTCTTTCTAGAATTTACTCCGGCAACGTGAAAATAATTGTCTCATCAGTAACTTACATTATCCTTTTCCGAGTCCCAGTCGCTTTCAACATCATTGAAGGTAGGGTAATCGCCCTTATTCCTCACTTCCTTTCCTTGAGCGATGCGCTCCTGTAAGATTTCAAAATTACTTTTTGTTATATGGTGGAATTGAGATGCAACCTCCTTCTCATTTCTTTTAATTTGCTTTGGTTTGATGTTTTCAATTTTTTTCTTCTCCTCTTCCAAGTTCATTTCTTTCATTTTTTCGTCGCTTTCCTTCTCTTCGTCCTTCTTGATATCCTTCTTCTCAGAAGAAGCTGGCTCTTCCTTCTTTTCTTCTTCCTTTTTGATGGCTGACTTCTTTCGTGGATGTTTAATCTAAATTATAGCACAGTATATTACACTGAAATAGGTTATTCCAGTACTGTGAAACATAAACAAAAAGTGGTTGTGAATAAGTTTTTTTTTCGGGCTAATTTTCGTCTATTCTTTATTCATATGTTGTAAGCTTCAATTCATTCACAGCCTCAAGCAAATCGCCAATCACTCCGTATTGGTGTATGATCACGTTATGATGGTGTTAGAGGATTCTGTATTATAAGAGAAATTTGCGTCAAAAAACCCAAAAGATGTGAGTACTCCACTGTTGTATCAATTTGAGCCTTTAAATTTGTACATGATAACTTCGATTGTTCGAAGTTTCCAAGAGTCTTACACACTAGTCAGACAGGTTGTATAAATTCATCAAAGATATAACTCGGATCCGCCATTACAGAATTTTCATAATTTTGAGTTTCTCGCATTCCTACGTTATATAAAAATTTGATGATGTGTTTTGTTCTGTACATTCATGGTGTCACTTTGCAGCATTTAGAGCCCCGAAGCCATAGACACAAAGGTGTTGCCAAAGTTAGAGGACAATGGGTCACCGAGAGGGAGGCTGCGCGCGGACGTTCGCAGCAAACCGCATTCTCGGTTTCGGCCGAACCCAGCTAAGGGCGGACCGGGTCAGATCCGCCACCCTCAGCTGGGCATCCGGCCGAGACCGAGAATGTCGAACTCCTTCTCAGCTTGGGAGACATTACCAGAGCATACACTCGGCTGTGCATTGCAGTTTGATCCCCAGGGCCACCTCACGCCACGATGATGGCCTTCTGATCACTACGCGATCCCAGCTCCACACCCGGGGATAGCGATTGCCCCCATAGAAATCGAGAAGGCTTAATAAGTTTACCCTTGTAGGGGGAAGACCATTATTCCGCTAGCTAGATGAAGAGGAAACTCTGCACATCGGATCCCGCCTATGACGCTGAGTGGTAGCAAGAACGATGTCAGGGGCCTTAGGGCGCCTTTTGAATTGGACTCAAAACGAGCATCTGCCCGAACGACACGCCATGGAGACTGCCTCATGCTCTGCACCTGGAAGGCCAGAACAGTCTCCACAAACACCGACATCCACGCTCTTTTCGACACTGCAGAACCAAGTACCACATCGCTCTACAGGAAACGAAGTCCAGGAAGAAGGACGTGCGACAGATGAGTGATGGGACCCTCATCATTCGTGATGCAAAGGTTCTAACGCAAAACGTTGGAGGCGTTGGTTTTTTCGTCCACTTATCTATCTTCTATCTTGTTGACTGGCATGAGATCCTAGGATCAACTCTACTAGCCATTCTACGACTAGGACCTCCAAGTCAGAAGACCATCAACATCATTGACTGCTCCTCAATATCAGCAGCTGACAACTCAGAGCTAGATGTTGTCTACAAAGACGTTGAGGTCGTTCGCAACAAGAAGTTCTTCTATAAGTTTGTTGTGACCTTGATGCGATCGGGATGCCACTAAGGATCGGAAAGTTTGGATATAGACTCCGGGATGACAACGGCAACCGTCACGTTAGGCTGCTTCTCTTTTCCGCACAACTCTTACATGGAAATTCCATCTTCGAAAGAACATCGACGTGGACAGAGGAATCGCCCAGTGGAACGACTCACTGGAGATTGACCACATTTTCATAGGCCGAAGATGGAGCTTGCTAGATATCTCAGTAGTAGTTCGATCCTTCTACAGTAGCTGTGATCACCGCCTCCTTCGAGCAAAGTTTCGATTCAGTCCAAAGCTGGAAAAGAAAGTCTGACAGTGCCGCAAGAAGGAAAGAATTCGTTTATAACGGTAACAGGCTGGAGGAGCTCATATCAAGTTGTGACTGGCCCATCGAGGAGTACCCAACGTACGACTACGACTGGCTTTTGAAATGGTTGCGAGCCTGCGAAGTGTGCGCCTCAGTGACTTCTGAGAAGAATTTGGATCACATTTCGAGGACAGACTTTTAAGGCAGGCTATGAATGCAACACATCTCGGGCGATTGATAGCCAATGCCAGTTGCAGAACAGCTTTGCAGGAGGATCTCAGGAAGTACAGGATACTAACTGGTATCCTGTACTGCCAAGATACTGGAAGCAGCCGAAAGAAGGCGAAGTTCCAAGAAGTGCCGAAGGGACCTCTGCGAATATCACGTACCGCTGGCTGCACTACTGAACGAAGACGGGACTCCGACTTCTTCCCGATACAAGATGGAATCTATCGCGAAGGACTTTTACACCAACCTCTTCCGCTCATCAACACCCGTGCCGATGCCCGCTGTTCCCACTGAAAAAGCGGGCATCGGCATTCTATTTCGAATTCTATCTGCTGAAGTGCGCGCAGCCATTCAGGCCATGAAGACGTCCATGGCTCGAGGACCAGACCATCTTTCCGTCAAACTTCTGCGAGCCGGAGGACACCGTCTACAAGAGGTTCTGCTTCGCGTTAAACATTTTATCTTCAGAAGGAGAAGATTCCCGACCAGTGGAGAACGTCAAGAACCGTCCTTCTCTTAAAAAAAGGCAAACGGGAAAATTTTCGGGACTACCGCCCAATATGCCTGCTGAGTGTGCTGTACAAGTTTTACACGACGATTATCCTCGCTTGCAACTGGATGAAGCCCAACCCCAAAGACAAGCTGGATTTCGCAAAGTATTCTGCATGGACTGCATCCAGAGGGTTTCGAGGATTATAGAAATCTGCCGGGAGCATAGATGCGATAGGTGGAAAAATTTCTCGACCCCCTCCACTTTAGAGCAGGCATCTGGCTGACCCCTTTCACCTGAGGTTGAGACTGACTCAAGGCATAACGGCAAAATCAAACAGCTGTTGAAATGACACTGTTTGTTCAGAAAGGAAACGCCGGCTGCTTTTCTTCTCAGACATCAAGACTGCAAGATTATCGAAACAACAGCGTTTTGTTGAAAAAACGCGTGCTCGAGACCTTCTTCGCAGTCAAAGTGGCTGCTAACGAAACATAATCAAAAGTCAAAAGGATGTCAGATTCTTTGAATAATTAACATTGTATCAATGAATACACATTGTCTCAAAAAAAAGTTAAGCATGAGTAGAAAATTTGGACTAGTTAGTGATGGATGCATGTTTGCTGATAATGATTGTACCATATCTATTTTATTAGAGAGAATAATAACAAATAAAAAAGCACTTAGATTACTCGTTTCTCAAGCTTTCGAATGATGTATGAAAGTTCGAAAAAGACCTTCTTGGTTTGAAGAGATAACTACCCAGAATTGGCTGATACTGTAACTAGATAAAACTGTCGTATCTCGTTACACAGAAAACCTAGTAGAAAAGGGACGGTCTATGTCGATTCCTCGTGCTCTTAACTTTCGAATGGTATATGAAGAGTTGGTGCACAAGGCTTTTCCAATGCAAAAAAGTCTTGCTCCGGCTACCCATAGAAAGCCGGAGCGGGGTGGAGCAAGTTAGTATTGAATATCTCCACCTCATTTTTGGAAAGCCAAAAGTTTTTTCACCCAAACAACCTGTATACCATTGAAAAGCCCACGAACAAAGGAATCGACGTAGACCAACTCTTTTTCTAGCTCCCGCTACCCAGAGATACATGGCATTTTAGCTAAAAATATGTGTGTTTTTGTCAGGAAATTCCTGCGTGAAGAATGAATGAATTTGCCTGGTTGTCTAACATATCACAGAGCAACTTTGCCAGTTAATATAGACCGTCTCTTTTTTTTCTATCTCTGTCCTTTCTTTCAAAAATAAAGGACAAAATAATTGCACAAAATTAGCTGGTGGTAGGCATATAGAATTGCTCGTATCTCGCTTTACAGAGAAGCTAAGAAAAAAAGAGACGGTCTACTTCGACTCTCCATGATCTCAGCTTTCGAATGATATAGAGAAAGTTAAGGCTTCCTTGCTTACCGGCTCTAAAAAGCACTTGCTCCGGTGACCGATAAAAGCCAATACATTAGGAGAGCTGGGTGGAGCAAGCTAATAGTAAATATCTTCACACCATTTTTAGAAACTGGCAAGTTTTTTCGCCCAGTAGTCCATATACCTTTCGCAAGCTCAGAGAAAGGGGATTCGAAATAGACCGTCGACTTCTTTCTAGCCCCTCTCTACCGAGAGATACACCGCATTTCATCTAAAAACATGGTCATTTTCAACAGCAGATTTCTGCCAAACGAAGACCTAATTACTGCAAGTTATCTATCTATGTTATAGAGCAATTCTTTATCAACAAACGTAGATCGTTGACTTTCTCGTAGTACTCATATGGAGAGCAGAAAGACAAGACACAAAATCAGTTGATTTATGAAGTACATAAAATGGCTCATATCTCGCGGCAAGAAGGCGTAGAAAAAAATCGACGGTCCACTTCGATTTCACAAGACCTCGACTTTCGAATGGTATGTAACTTGTTGGGGCATTTTGCTTTCAGGGCTCACTTACCCCCTTCACCTTACAAGGATTAAAGTAGCAAAGACCCCTTTCACCTGGAGAAGGCCCGGTTACCCCTATGGCACCTATGGCCGGACAGCGACTGCCTCTCGTCCTGACCTTCGTCGACTACGAGAACGCCTTTGACAGCGTCGAAACCAACGCCATCCTGTCAGCGCTAGTCGATCAAGGAGTGGACCCAGCTTACCTGAAGACGTTAGCCAATTGTTACAAGGACTGTACAGCGACGATGCAGCTATTTCATCACCCCGAGCATCGCAATTAGGCAAAGGCCCGACAAGGTCTCGACACAATCTCGTCAAAGCTGTTCACCGCGACCTTGCAGTGGGTGATGAAGTCACTAAAGTGGAACGAGAGAGGCACACGAGTTGATGGGAAATTCCGTCAAACCTTTGTTTTGCGGACCATCGTACTCTTTTCGAGCAGTATCACTGAACCATAGACGATGCCTAAAAGAGCTAAACGAAGTAAGACTCAATTCATAAAGCACCCCTACTGCAAAGATGCAGAAATGGTACTGGGAGGGGCACTTCCATTATGGAGACGTCTACGCGTATCTTGGACGTTTGACGAACATGGAGAACGATTTGAAGGAAGTCAACAGGAGAAGAAGAGCAGTCTGGGCCGCCTTGGGGCCTCTGAAGAAAGCCACCGACCAACTGACGGATCTAGAAATTCGACTGCCCATTTGACTTAACCGTTCTTTCGGAGCTCTGTTACGCAGCTGACACTTGACGCGACACCGTTACGAAAGCTTTACGGAGCACCCACATAGCGCTTGAGCGCAGTCTTCCAAAGATGTTCGGAAAGAACATCTTGTCGGACTTCGCAGTACGTGACCAGCGGAATGCGTTGCGAAAGCGAAACATCAATGGGCCGCTCATGCCATGATAAGAAGAGACTACAGATGGACACTAAGAACATCGGAGTGGATTCCTCGCGAAGCATGTCCTCGAGGAAGACCTTCAACGAGATAGGCAGACGTTTCGTGGAACGGATAGACCAGCTAAGAAATTACCTGGATACGATTTTTGCCCGTGAAACTCGAGGAGGCAGACTGGCGAAACCAAGAAGATGGTGGAGATCTGAAGAGAGAAACAGGGTGAAATGGAAACTTTTGTGCTAGGCCCGCACGTCACGTGAAGACGGACCATCTAAGTAACTTACAAGGGAAGTCACTTAACTCAGGTCAGCCTTTTGGAATGAGACACATATATTTAGAATCAGCTCGGAATGCTGATTCCAAATATGCTCTCCTTAAGCTGCGAAGCATCCCTCTGAAGCGAGTTATGAGCTTTTTCCCAAGCAAAGTTTGCGTGCTGACCCACTTGGGCATGCTACGGCATCGTCATCCAGGTAGTAGTTCAAATGCATACAATACCCTATCAAAGCCAAATAACTCAGTTTGATGTTAGTTCGATTTCCTACCACTTTTTTAGGGTGATTTTTATTTAAAGGCCTTCTTGCCATATTTAGTTATATGCCAATTACACATACTAAAAAGCTCATAACTCGCTTCAGAGGAACGCTTCGCAGCTAAGCACAGCATATTTGGAATCAGCGTTCCGAGCTGCTTCTATATATGTGTCTCATTTCAAAAGGCCGACCTAAGTCAAGTGACTTTGCTTGTTAGTAGTTCCTAGAATTCTTCAAACAATTTGGGTAGCACCTAGAATTTAGCTATAAATTCCCTTTCTGCGAAATAAAACTATACCTTTCCCAAGAAGTTGTCACAAACTTGGACTCATCAAAAGAAACGGTACTTCGTTACAAGTGCGTGCTCAATAGAAATGTATGAGATTTTGGTGCAAAAATAACCGAATGGAGTAAGATAGTCATGTTTGTGTTCAAGTTCAATCTTCTCCGTCTTGGTTCCTCTGCTTGAAACTTGAAATAGATAAATTGAAAGCACTGTTTTGGAAGTCGAATTTTGAAGCTGATGTTTCATTGAGTAGAAAGTAACAGTGAGTCTGGGTCTTTTTAACTTAATAAAACTTTTTCAGGCCAGGTGGCACTTTAGATTTAAGAAAATGAGGAATGAGCGTGCTCGTTCGTCAATCGTCTTCAAACAGTATCTTTTAATGCCAATCAACCATCGTCATCACTAGCGGCAAGCGGCCGACATTCCACCCATTTAGATGCTCAGCCGACCGTTAAGTAGGATTGATCCTTGACACGAAGGTCCCTGTTTTCCGCTACTAAAAATTATTTGACGATATTGCAGGTGACACCAAAGCACTCTGGACTAAGAAAAAGTTTTAATTTGGATAACAAGTTCTTATCAGCATTACGAGGGGGTTGTTATCTTATAGATCTTTTTGAGAGGCCACATCATTCGATGTCTTTTCTTGTAAAAGACATAAAGAACGGACAAAAATAGTGGCAAAACTCGAAACTCATTCAATGCTTCATAAGCAGCAGTCATCCTTTATTTTTTTCGCATGCGCCGCTGTCGCGCACGACTCCGAGCACGCACCACAATGTGCTAACATTACATTCGAACTCCCCGTTATTCAACTGTCCACAGGAACCCTTTTTGAGGCTATGCAACATTCAAGAAAACCAAATAAATTGCGTGGCCAATGAGCACATGTTGGAAAGTGACCTTATATACCTTATAGTTGTGGGCTGAGGGTTGTTTACGTGTTTTTGTGTGTCTGTGTGTCCGTCTGTTACAAACTTCTTAATGCAAGTTCCAGCCAACTTTTGCCTAAATTTTGCATAGCGCATGCTAGCAGAGTGAAAGTCCACCATGAATAAAGTAAAAGTGGATCCGATGAATGAACCACTCAAAAACTGTGCGTTGAACGCAATCGACTTCTAGCCAGCAATATTGAGTCCGCAATATCACTTTTTGCAAAGACATGGATATGTTTGGCAAGTAAATGTGCAAGCTATGGACTTAAGCCCAAAAAGCTGATCAGAATTTTGTTACTTTACGAAAAAGGCACAAAAGGATTGGTTGCGTAGGTGGTCAACTTTTCAAGGTTTTAGCTTAGTCTAAGAAGGCCACAGAGATGCAGTCCATGGTGACTGTTGTCTTTATGAAGACTATTGTGCCATAAAGAATCAAAAACAGAATCAAATTTGCATTTAATCTTCTACAAAAAGCACGCGAAATTATCGATCTCACATGAAAAAGCTTTCAGAATGAGTAGTTTTTTATAAGTTATTCTTGAGAGTCAGCACTGTGCGAATACTCAATGCCATCATAACGCGAAGATGAATAAGGCGTGTAGATATTAAGATTAGTGCGAGCAGAGGTGACGCACCGGTCACTGTATAGGTAAAAAGCAAGCAGTCGTAGGAAGCTATAAAGAGTTGCAACCAAGATTCGTAGAAAGCGTATATCTCAAAACTCCGAAGATTGATAGTATCAGTTGTAAGCGCTTGCTCGGAGTCCTATTTTACATATTTCTGCACCAATGGGATAATCTTGGCTTCAAGCAAGGCAACACCTCCTTAGTAATGGTTACCGTCAAACCAAAACTCGCTCTTCCATTAATTCTCAAAACATATGTACCTCTTCCTTATCTTTATCAGGTTCTTTCGTCGCTTCTTTCTGAGGCAATGTTGCGCTCTCTGGTGGCTCACTTGATGCAGGTGCACCTCCAACCTGCTGAAAATTTATTGTGGGCAAATATATTTTATCAGCACCATGCACTGACATCAACGAAAGCAATACAACAATGTCTGCGCAAAGTTCCTTGAGGGCACCGTCCACCCAAATTCTCGACTTTCATGTTTTTGTCATTCCAGAGCCTTCACATGTTCCTTATTTCGAATATGAAATGGAGAATCCGCGAAAATTCCGACAATCCCTTCCGCAGCATCCGTACGGCGAATTCTCCTGAACTTTGATTAGTACCTTGCACCCAACGGGCGGGACGAAAACTCAAGCTTACTCTAAGGGGGGAACCCAACATGGCGAATCCGTCATCGGAAGCGATTTTTGAAGCAACTTTTTCCGCAGCAAAAACAAATTTTGACAGCTCAAGTTGTGCAAGTATGACTGGAGATCTCGTTACTTTAGGCATCAAAATCTCATCGACTTCAACTTGGGCGGTCGGTTCCTCTAAGAAACTCTACACGCTCCTAGATAGTCTACAGAACGAAAGATTTGTAAATGCTCTGAAAGAACTCACTCCTTCTTTTGACTTTACTTTGAGCTCCTCACGTTTACGTTTCCGTCGTTTGCACACTCCTCTTATCCTTCTACATGTTCCACAAGCACATTGCTCTATTAAGTAGGCTGAAAACGTTGTGGGATACTAAAGCGTAAAAAATATGGTGTTGCTGACGATCAAATTGTCTAAGTAAAAGGGCGAGCTAGTGCCAGTATGACAGAGATGGCACCTAGGAACTGGAGAAAAAGAGAGTCAAAGGCTTATATTTCACTTATAAATTCAAGCAGATGTGCTTATCAGAAAGACTCATTTCGCCTCAAACTTTTTTCTTTTAAAGGCACCGTCCACCCTAAGTTGAGGGTGTTGAGCTTTTGGCAGCATATAACAGTAGGGCCCTCTATCAATCCACTGCCCATGTCGCAAAACGCAGCTTCGGAAGCGAGAAAATCGCCTTGGAATAGCGAAGATGCACGAGGACCCCCATCCATGCCCGCCCTCCCCATCCATGCCCGCCCATTTGTGCGCGCCCATCCAATCACCGTTCCGAAAAGCCGGCCTGTGGGCTCTCCGGGAAGGGGATTGTCTGGGTTTTCGAGCATTCCCGACTTCATATTCGGAATCAGGAACATGAGAAGGCCCTGAGACGACGAAAACGTGGAAGTCGAAAATCTGGGTGGACGGTGCCTTCAAGGGTCATAGCTTTCAATATATGGGACCAATTTACCCTTTTCAATTAACCTCAAATTTGAACGAGATTCAGAAAGCTCAGGAGGATTAGATGAGAGGGAACTCATGGGTCGGCACTGCGTCTAGGTGAGGGTTTGGCTGCTGGTCAAAGAGCAACGAGTCACTTACTAAGCGATTTAATCGAAGCAATAAGTGAGCTTAGTGTTACATCCTTTTCACTGAGCCTCATCCAATAAGGAAAGCTACCTAACTTAGCTCGGCCTTTTGGTAAAAGGCATATATATTCTAAATCAACTTCAGACGCTGACTCCAAATGTGCTATCTTTAGCTGCCACGCACTATGCCGAAGCGAGCTATGGCTTTTTTCCTAAGCAAAATCGGCATACTACTGAACATGAGAAGACTGCCTGTAGATAAAAATTTGCAAGAAAAAAGTGCTGAGGTATCGAAACAGTACAATTCAATATTTTCTCACTAAAAAAGCTTAACGCAGGTGTATTAGCACTCAAATGATGATGACGTGATGCCCGTGAGTCGATGAGCATGTCAATTTTGCACAGGAAAAAGCCTAACTCGCTTCGAAATAGTGCGTGGCAGCTAAACATAGCATATTTGGAATCAGTGTTTGAAGCTGATTCAGATTATATATACTATATATACTTGCCAAAAGGCCGAGCTAAGTTAGGTAGCTTTTCGTGTAAGAAGGAAAAAATGACTGGTGACCATGGCCCTTTGAAATTTGTTTTACACCAGAAGTGTCGTCTTCGGACGCTAATCTCTCTGTTCTTATCTGCAGAGCGCCTCGTCTGAGAACAGGTAGCACTTGTGAGCGCCACGCAAAAGTATTTGCACCGATCGAGATCAAACCTAAATACATCACTTGCGCAATAATCCACAGCGCTACATGCTAGACCGTTCGACACCTACGGTTCTATTCTTACTGCAAACATGTCAAATGCGATGAGATATGGTTTTTCTAAAGAGTCCCACAGATAACGAATCAGCGTTTCAAAGCAAATGTTAAGACATATTTCGCATATCGACAAGTCACGGTCACCAAGTGTCCTTTCGCCGCAAGATGGAATTGTTTTGCACGCTTAATACTCTTTTCTTTCTCTTCTGTTTACAGAGCAGCACAAATTCCAACAGCTTACTCGGCTTTACTAACAATAATTTTCCGAGTCACTCACTTGATATTCCCAAAGCTATTGTTTGCAAAATGTAAATTGGAATAAGATATAATACATGTCGAATATTCTGCAAAGGAATTTTGCGCAACATTTGTCAGGCTCGGAGCACAGAACGCACCTCACTACAGTGGAATAGTTGGACAATCATGCCAATCAAGAGTGCAAAAACTTAGAAATGAGAATCACATCTTTATTGCGTTGACACATAATGACTGTTATGTTAGTGTCTGATTTGTTGTTTTCTCGTATGATCTGCCCTCGCTAAGGCGCCTGTGACCTCAATGCGCGGAAATGAGCGCTATAAAAGGCGCTCGCTGTTAGCCATTGTCAGTTCGACTGTTCACTCATCGCCTCTCTTATTTTATTGTTCCCTATATTTTCTAATAAATATTCTTGTTCCTCTCGTGTGCTCAGGACGAAGAGTCGACGTGTCCGACGTGGAGGACACAATAGTGGCGATCAGGAGCGGCGGCTACTAGTCGAAGAAGTAGCCGAACCAACGAAGCCCGAGGAAATGAAATCGACAAGGAGACTGCAGAGAGCGGTCAAAACGAACCGATAGATCAGCATGGCGAAGATTGCCTCAGAAGAGATGCTGATCCTGCTCCAGGAGATGAGAGAAGAACGAAGAGAGATGATGGAGCTTCTGAAGCACATCACAGGACGAAGCGGTACCCCAGCCGAAATTCCGAACATGATGGCCGCCCTCAGCAGTAGGATCGAAAAGTTCTACTTCGACCCGGTGGCGGATATATGCTTCAGCAAATGGTACGCGCGCTACAAGGAGGTCTTTGTCGAAGACGCGAAACAGCCCACGGAAAGTGCGAGGGTGAGGCTACTTTGCGAGAAACTGGACAAGGACAGCTTCGAAAAATACCAGAGGCATGTGTTACCAAAGGAGGTCACCTCGATTAAACTCGAAGATACAGTCGAAACATTGAAGCAGCTCTTCGACGTGAAGATTTCCGAGTTCACTATGCGGTACCAGTGCTTGAAACTGGAGAAGGAGGATTCCAAGGATTACCTCATGTATACCGGAAGAGAGGACGAACTGTGCGAGAAAGCGAAGATCCACGACTTGGATAGCGATGAAATCAAGTGTCTTTTGTGGATTTTTGGCCTGAAGAGCCAGAAAGAAGGCGAAATCAGGCAGCGACTCATAGCCGTACTGGACAAGGAGTACAAGGCTGGACGAGAAATGTTGCTACAGGAACTGTACCTAGAGTGCGAAAACTTCCTCAGTCTCAAGAAGGATAACGAGACTGTAGTTGGTTGCGCGAAGATTGTCGAAGCAGCAAGCAAGGAAGAACCCAAAAAGCTGGAGTGCTGGAACTGTGGTAAAGCCCACTTTGCTAGGGAATGCAAAGCGAAGCAGTGGTTTTGCAAGAAATGCAAGAAGACACGTCACAAGGAGAAGTTTTGCGAAGAAGTGGCGGAGAGAAAAGCTCTTGTTCAGCAACATTCGAAACGAAGAATGTACAGAAGCAGCGATACCAGCAAGAACAGAAGTTGGACGAAACCAAAACGCCAAGTGCTTAGAGTTGCGAAGATTGCGAACGCAATGATGGAAGTGAATTCGACTCGCGTATATGTGAAAGCGAAAGTTAATAGTCATCCAGTTAGTTTCTTACTGGATACAGGATCAGATATCACCTTGCTAAACGAAGCAATCTGGAGAAACATGGGTGCTCCACGGCTGGAGGAAACAACCGTGATCGTCAAGAACGCTAGTGGAGGTTCCATGGAAGTTCATGGAAAGCTATGGTGCGAGTATAAAATCAAAGGATCCAGTGGCCGTATTCATCATTGATACCTTGAGGTAAATTCTACCTCCAGGTTGTTTTATCACTCATTATCAGCAAAATTACACTGAGAATTTACCTCAAGGTACTTTGTGAATACGGGTACTTGCTGATAATGAGTGATAAAACTACCTGGAGGTAGAATGTACCTTAAGGTATCAATGATGAATACGGCCACAGAAGCGAAGGCTATGCATACGTGACGCCTCACAGCTCACTGCTAGGATTAGAGTGGATTCAGAAGAACGAAGATATGTCCTATCACTTAAGCAGAATGGTTGCCGAAGTGAAGGCAGAGCAAACCAGCGACATAGCTACGAAGCTAAAGAAAACCTACCCAGAAGTCTGCGAAGAAGGTCTAGGATTTTGCACAAAAGAGAAAGCGCACTTGAGAATTAACGAAAACGTTTGCCCAGTATTCAAGGCTTGAAGACCTGTCCCCCATGCTGCGCTCGAAGCCGTCGAAAAGGAGCTTGATAGGCTGTTGGAGCTAAGCGTCATAAGCCCAGTAACGCACAGTGGGTGGGCAGCTCCGATCGTATGCGTCAGGAAGGCCAATGGAAAGTTGAGAGTGTGTGCTGACTTCTCAACTGGACTTAACAAAGCGCTGGGGTCGTATGATTACCCGTTACCATTGCCGCAGGATATATTCGCATCCCTCAATGGAGGTACGGTGTTTTCGCAGATAGATCTGTCGGACGCCTATCTGCAAATCGAGTTGTCAGAAGAAGCGAAGAAATTGGTCGTAATAAATACGCATAGAGGACTGTACCAGTACAACAGACTGCCTTTTGGAATCAAAACAGTACCAGGGATCTTCCAGCAAATCATGAACAAGATGCTAAACGGTTTGCAAGGTGTAGCAACCTACCTGGACGACATATTGGTCTGTGGAAGGACCGAAGAAGAACACATGAAGAATTTGCTAGCTGTTTTTGCAAGAATAGCCGATTATGGATTCAGAATTCGCTTAGACAAGTGTTCTCTTGGAAAGCCAGAGATACGATATCTCGGCTTCATAGTGGTCAGAAATGGCAGAAGGCCGAACTTAGAGAAGATCGAAGCAATCAAGAACATGGATGAGCCGAAGAATGTCAGTCAGTTAAGAGCTTTCCTTGGCATAATAACTTACTATGCGGCATTCATGCCAAAGATTAAGGGTCTTCGTGGACCATTGGACGCGATGCTCAAGAAAGATGCGAAGTGGGAATGGACACGAACACATCAAAAAGCCTTCAAAAGCTCAAGGATACATTGTCAAGTGAGCTGAATCTTGCTCACTATGATCCAAGACAGAAGATCGTCGTGGCAGCGGACGCCAGCGACTATGGAATTGGGTGCGTGATATCGCACATATATCCTGATGGATCCGAAAAGCCAATTGCACATGCGTCGCGGTCTCTTACGAAAGCGGAGAAGAAGTATTCGCAGATCGAAAAGGAAGCATTGGGAATTGTCTTTGCTGTCAAGAAACACAAGTACATATTCGGACGAAGTTTCTACTACTGACGGACCATCAACCACTGTTAATCATCCTCGGTGATAAAAAGGGAGTTCCAGTCTACTCCGCGAACGGACTCATGAGATGGGCTACAATTCTACTTGGATATGAGTTCGACATAGAATATGTCAAAACTACGAAGTTTGGACAAGCAGATGGCTTGTCAAGGTTGATGAAGAAGAATCAGAATCTCGAAGAAGACGTCATGATAGCTGCCGTTGAGAACGACGTCGACTACATGCTGAAGAGCTGCATAAGAAAATTGCCAGTAACCGTATCTGATGTACGAACCTGGACGAAGAAGGATCCAGTGCTTAGAAGAGTACTCACTTACGTGCAGAAAGGAAGTTGGCCAGAAGTAAATGGAGAATTGGCTTGATGTCAGCCGAAAGGGTTGTGGTACCCAAGGAGCTTCGAAGAAATGTTCTGAAAGAACTGCATCTTGGACATCCAGGGATAGTAAGGATGAAAAAACTGGCTCGAAGTTACGTCTACTGGCCGAATATAGACAAAGATTGCGAAGACTTGGTTTGAAGATGTACGAAATGTCAGGAGCTAGCCAAGAATCCGACGAAAGTACCATTGGAAGCGTGGCCATCCGCGACTCGAGTGTGGCAGAGGATACACATCGACTTCGCCGGAACTATGCAAGGAGTCTTCTACTTGGTGGTAGTAGACGCATACAGTAAATGTATGATCGAGATGAGCAACATCTCGGCTGCGAAAACGGTGAAGGCTTTGAAGAACTTGTTTGCGAGATATGGATTGCCGCAAACAATAGTAAGCGACAATGGTACCCAGTTCACATCGGATTTATTCAAGAAGATGTGTGACGAAGGTGGAATCACCCACATAAGGACTGCTCCGTATCACCCTCAATCGAATGGACAAGCAGAGCGTTTCGTTGACACTCTGAAACGCGGAATCAAGAAACTAGAGGGGGAGGAGAGGCCAACAGAAGAGACTCTAAATGTGGTATTACAAGCATATAGGACAACACCAAACACGAACTCGAACGACAAGACGCCAGCGGAGTTGTTTCTAGGCAGAAACTTGCGCACAAAATTAAGTCTGTTACTCCCGATGACAGAAGATGCAGAAGACCCACTCGCACGAAGGGGACGGGAGCGCATGAAGGATCAGTTCGACCAGAAGCATGGAGTCGTCTGAAAAGATTTCGAAGTTGCTGACCTGGTATACGCTAAGCAGTGGAAGCCACCCCCACTTCCACTGGGTGAAAGGAACCGTGATGAGACGTATTGGACGTGTCAATTATGAAGTTATGATTGGTGATAAGATATACAAGAAGCATGCAAATCAGCTGCGATATCGAAGCGATAGTGAACAAGTCGCCGTACGACAACAACTTCAACAACAATCCGAAGCTTTGAAGATACTACTAGATGTTCTGACAGAAGACGACACATTATCGAGGAATGGCAATGCTGCTGAAGGGAGTTCCGAGCAAGCGATCGCGAGCGGTGTGCCAGTACCCGATTATTCAATGACATCGACGTCGACATCAAGCCAGGAGCCCTCCACGCCACCGACAACGCTTCGGAGATCGAGCAGAACGAGAAGACCGGTACAACGGTTCCAACCTAATCCATAGCATGAAATCGTATGTTTGTTTCATTAGACTTGTAGTTGTTTAAATAATAGTGATATCTATGTGTAATCGATTTCTTAGCTGTTCATATTTGTAGTTCATGCTTTTATCGTAGGCTAGTTTTGTGTAACTACCCTACTGGGGGAGGTGTTATATTAGTGTCTGATTAGTTGTTTTCTCGTATGATCTGCCCTCGCTAAGGCGCCTGCGACCTCAATGCGCGGGAAATGAGCGCTATAAAAGGCGCTCGCTGTTAGCCATTGTCAGTTCGACTGTTCACTCAACGCCTCTCTTATTTTATTGTTCCCTATCATTTTCTAATAAATATTCTTGTTCCTCTCGTGTGCTGCCTCAGGACGAAGAGTCGACGTGTCCGACGTGGAGGACACAACAATGATAAATACCATCTCAATCGTATTTATGCTGCATGGAATTGTTCGAGTTGGTAGCTGCAAAATTTCGACTCTAATGTTGAAACAACCCACTTTTCACGTGTGCTCACCTTCCCCGCTGCTTGCCCGCCACTAGATCCAGAGAAAAGGATGGCAAATTAGTAAGAAGAATCGTTGTTCGAAGTGATCTTACACCACTGATAGCGGACGAAAAACTACTAGAGATGGATTTAGCGACGTGGAAAAGCGTGGTTTAAAGTCCAAATAAAAAGACATTGCTTCAAACCTTCAATGTGTTCTGTTCAATTGAAACGGCAATTAAAAGAAGCTGGTCAATAAATGTTTCTCACCCTTTTCACTAGGTGTGGGAACAAGTTCTGGAATTACTGTGCAACAGATATCAAGTTGAATTGATCTCAGGTGTTGTAAATCAGTACCAAAGCCCAATGGGTGGCAACTAGGGTCAAGCGTGCTGATGCGATCCGGGACTTTCATTCACGCCCCCCCCCCTTGAAGGTACCCATCCGTACGACCCTTCCCCCTTCCCCTTCTCCCCCCCCCCCTTCCCCCTCCCCCCCCCCTCCCCACCCTCACCCATTTATCTCCCTTACATCCCCTGCCCACATTCCTCGCGGTAACCTGCATAAACGAATGTCAATATCAAAAAACACCTGCGTGAGAACTTCAGTGAGGTTTCCGAAGCAAAAGTTCTAGGCCAATGGGTGCGTCCATCATCTGTAGCACACATACACACCTTTGATAATGCTTGAGATTCTGCAACTTTTTTTTTTGAATTTCCAGGCATACTTCCGGCCAGCAAATTCGATTCCCGTAGGCGATACAAATTTTTGCACTGAGAAGAAATGACATTATTGAACTACAAAAGATGTTTTCGACTAAGAAGCTTACTTCCTACCTCTTCCACAGTTAAGCGCCGTCAAACACGACTTCAAAAACGTGCATGAGCACGGTAGTTTGAAAATTCGTAACTAAGGCCAGGAAAAGACTGAGAGGCTGCAAAGCACAGGTTCTGTAGTATGGTGCCCAGACTATCCAAAGAAAAAGTTTCAGCTCTTGAGGAGCAGTAAGAAAACTCGAAAAAACTTAGATGTGACTTTCGTAAATTTAGATGCGATCTTAAAAAGCAAAAACTGGGGTTTTTGAGTATAAAATTTTGTAACTTACCAGAGAAGTTATAAAACAGCCTGCAATTTATATGAGGGAAGGTAAGAGGATGGCCCCATATTATAGTAGAATTGCAGCCAACAAGCTTCAATAGCTCCGAAGAAATTTAGATGCGACCCAGATGCGACCCCCCTTTCCTGACTTTTTGTTGCCATACATAAAATCATAAGAAAATCCACAGTTGACAAGATAACACCAAATTTTGCACTGATATAGCGGAGCATCTCAAAAGTACAGATAAATCATATGGGCCCGCGAAAAACATTACAAAAAGATTTAGAAATTTATGATGGTCACACCTAGTAAAGACATTCGCTTTTGTCGAGTGTGTGAGACTTCATGAGGGCTTCAGAAGGAAGATTCCTAGGGCAATCGGTACATTTAGCATTTTTATCAAATAATACATCCTTCAAAAGTGTTTTGAGCTCTTGTAAATGTTTTCTTGAGAATTTCTACAGATTTCCACTTTTTTATAGATTTATTGTAAAGAATATAACTAATTGTCTGTTTTTTTGATTCCCTTTTGAAGCTCAGGGTATTTTAGCCTAACTAACCCCTCTTACGGCCCTTCCCCCCACCTTAGATACCCTCTTACGACCCCCCGTTGCGACAGTCGCATCACAAGCTTGACCCTGGTGGCAACTTTTGATTTCGAGTATTGTGTGAATTGCCCCCTGATTCTGCATCATGAGATGCCTATCCGCTAGTTATTTTTATCCGGGTGGGGGAACGAAAGCCGCCAGGTCCAGCCGCCTCCGCGGACTGCTGGTCCTGGAACGACATGCAACAACGCTGCGAAAGGACCAGCTGGCCGCGAAAGGCGGCTGGACCTGGCGGCTTTCGTTAACCCACCCTTTTTATCCCATTGACGACGACGCCTAATTTTGCGTAGCGGCGCTGTGGGACGACGCGATTTTGCACAACACTTTCGGCATGGGAAGGATTTGTGATTAATTATCAAATGTAAAGTTGTTCTGTAGTCAGCTAAATCATCTTCTTCGACGACGGAGTCTACGGTTCAGAGAGTTCAAAAAACTGGGAAAACTACTGAATTGTAGGGAAAATGCTAGGCCTAGAAAGCACATGATTTTGCGAGGGGTGTGGGCCATCTGTGGTCCACATCGTCGTCAATGGGTTAACTAATAGGTGAGTCTGCACACTATGCACGGCAACAGACGATAGTAATTAGTAACTACTCTGTAAAACTTTTCCTAACAACAAACTGTAAAAATGTGGCCTACTAACTGATAGTCTATTGAATTGAAAGAGACAGGGAAACAAGGGGAGATTAGTGGAAATGAGCACGTTCCAAACTTACATGTTGTCACTAGCTCGCATGGGGTGCAATACTATACTCACATTAAGTCACAAGCGACTCGCCTTAGGTAGAGGTGCAGGTGAACATTTCGAGGAGCAGTTTATCTTACTATGTCTTTCCATGGGACAAACCAAGCAAAGCAATTTATGCCTGTACGCCAGAAATTACCTTTTATATCTTCAATTGGATTATTTCCGATTTTCTCTTGTGCATGAAGTTCATGCACAGCCAGATATATAGTAAGCACAAGTCGAGGATATTTATCTCTTGCGTGTAGGGATGTTTGACATGCAATTTTCATCGCTTTCACAATACAGCTCTGTCCTCGAACAAGGTTTCCATGGTTCCCATCGCTCACAATTTTGTAGGGGACTATACGTCGCCGATAGACTTTAGCCCGCGCAGGCAGCTGATACGAATCTGTATGCTTGTGAAGTGCGCATGCAAGCATTTGTCGCAGATGTCCGCATGGGACCACACCCTTTCGGCTACATATATCCCTCTACCTCTCGCAGATTTTGTTGCTTCGCTTCTTCCAGCATGTCCATCGCGGCCGTCGATTTCAGTTCTATACCAAAAAGTGGATTATATGCGTTGTGAAATGCATGGTGGAAATCATTGGCTATTTGTAGTTACACCGGTCTTCGCTCACTCTTTCTCTAAGCTGCCAACAAATCTGATTCGCTCGAAAGTATTAAAAAGCACAAAATTCATCTCTAATCTGCTGTTCGGGCGCAGAACTTGTATGTTGACCTCGCGGCAGACTTTGGATACCGTACTGTAATTAGCGGATCAATATGTAAAGAGTAACTACAAAACTTGTATGATAACCATCCCCCTCGCATGTCCTCTGGGGATTTAGCGACTTCCATCGGAAAGAAACCGTTGCTCCCGTCAAGTGTTAATCATGACAGCAGGAGGTAAAATGAGGGATCAAAGGTACATGATATCAACGATGAAAAAACTTTTGCAATTCACGATAAATAACACGGACGTTTTGCTTACTGCTAGTGCTGCTGCCTCTCGCGCGGATTACTGTAACGCCGCGTTGAGACAATTCTTTATTTCCACCCATAAGAAACGAGCGCCCTCTGCTTCTTATTATGTTTAGACATTTATCATTTTTGGGAAACTGCGATATTTCCACGAAGGATTTGGTACTAAGCTAGTTAGCAAGCAGTAGCTTTGGATTCTGACCCATACCTGCACAATCCTTAGTTACAAATTCTAAGATACGATAATTATGCGCTCAAAAGACATTAATACAGTGTTTATTCAATATTTTTTCAAGCGAGAGTAATTAAGCAGAATTGAAGAATTGTACAAACTTTTTCTACTTATGTAAACACGACATTTTTGTCTTGTAGGAACGTGCATTCAAGGCATCAAACTGCTATCTCCTTCTCCGTTGTACGAAGCCTGGTGGCTTCTTCTTGACACTAGGAAGTGGTTTTGCTAACGGATTTACCTGCAATTGTACTCATTTCGTATGTCAAAAATCAAACGCGTTCAATGAAATCTAATTTTAGTCCATTACTATTCGCCCATACACGATCCTAGTTTACTGTCACAGAGCTCGCAGATTTTTGCAGCATTCAATTGCGAGATGATTTGAATGTTTACTCAGACAATCGACCGGACCCCTCCGCCGGACAGTCCGAATCTGCCAGAGTCGCGCCGGACCCAGTTGACCAATGAGAGCGGGGCAAATGGGCGGTCCGTCGCGGTGACATCACTGGCAGGCAAATGGGACGCTTCTCCGGCCCTGCTGCAAAGGTACGCCATTTCTCCGGCGCGGCTCTGCCAGATTTGGCAGAGCCGCGCCGGAGAAATTTGCCCGGCGCGAGTCCGCCAGATTTGGAAGAGCCGCGCGCAGAAAATGGGAGGGGTCCGGAGCACAAATGGGAGGTCTCCGGAGCAGAAAATGGGAGGGCTCCGGAGCAGAAATGGGAGGTCTCCGGAGCAGAAATGGGAGGGCTCCGGAGCAGAAATGGGAGGTCTCCGGAGCAGAAATGGGAGGGCCCCGGAGCACAAATGGGAGGGCTCCGGAGCTGGCTGCGTATCGATTTGGCGCGTAGCAAGCAAACGTCTAACTCCACGGTGATGAGTCCTCTGTTTACCCTCTTTCTTCATATTTTAGTACTTTTTTTCGATTTTGTTGTTTCTCCGCGTTTCTTACCGTTTTTTTTCTTTTCCGCGTTGCTCTTCGTCGCGTTGGCGTTTATGTTGTTGTAAGTTCCTCGTTTTCAGGTTTGTTTCAAATTTTCGTGCGGATGCACTCAATCACCTTCAGTGTTTGGCTCTTTTCGACTTGAGACATCGTTGACTACTGATGGAGTAGTTTTCGTGATTAATTCTGGATTTTCGAAACAACAACAATTTTCGAAAGTATATAATTCGAGTAAAGTCCAAATGAAGTTTTCTTCCCATTTCAGTCAGAAAGCTTGCTTTTTAGGTGCAGTGGATTTAGCGGTATTTGGAAGGTATATCTAAACTTTTTCGTACCCCTCAATATCGATACCTTATCAGGTGGCTGTATTCCGTGGATTATTGGATTCCGCAATGATAGATAGTTTGGGCAGTCTGAGTCCACTCATACTCGATTTCATCGACTCGATGAGAGAAAACCTCGAAAGCATCTGGTATGCAGTTTTTACGTTGTAATGTAGTCCTTGATAACAAGCAAGATTATATCAGGATCGTGACATAGCAGTGGTGACGATGATGCGGCTACACTATTCCAAACTTATTGCTGTGATCATTGATAATGTTAGTCCAGAAAATCGTGGCAGTCTCATTCCGGATGAAAAGAAGCAAAGCCTATTTTATCTATTCATCGGCTGGTGCAGCAGAACGATAGCAGTAGATAAAAAGAATAGGGAAAATGATGTATGTTTTCATGTTGCTGTTCTATGCATCGCTGTTTATTTAATCTTTTTCATTAAGGTTGGTTCATAGGTGGAGCAAAAGGCGGCCTTAGCTATGACACGTCCACTCAGCTGTGGTAGAATATTTGAAGCTCAGAAATCTATTGGTGAAGATGGTTATTTATATGGCTGGTTGGAAAAACTTGTGTCAAGTGCGAATACTGCGGTATGTTTATGTTGGAAATCGCTTTTACGGTCCTTTTTCTCTTGTTTATCTTTCATAATATGCTCTTTCTTGTTTGAAATTGGTTATATCTCTTCGATGAAAGTGTTTTTCAACTGAATCGTCTTATTCAAGAGTATCTGAAGTAGTACGGAATATCACGCAATCGAGCCACCTGCTAGACTGGTTAATGTCTTAGTGCTATAGTCAGCCAAGTGCTGTTGCTGCGAAATGCTTTCGAGCTCTCGTGCTCGTGTTCTCACTGTATTATAGATCCCAACTGGTCGTCGACTTGGAACAGTAGTCAAAACGAGGCGTAGAGGGATTGCGCAGCTGCTGTGACTGCACAAACTTCGCTAAAAATGTCTCGCTGAGGTTGTCCTTCAGAAAGGATGGAAATCAAGTGGTGCGCACTTGCATATGCTGAAACTGAGAATTCAAAAAAGTACTCAAAGTTGAAGTTCAGTAATCGTAATGAAACAATCACGATCAAAATTGGGACTTCTATGTGTTCGAAGCTGTTCTTCTGCATAGCTATGATTGTTCGCAAAACAAAGCACAAAAAGCACTTTTTTCAAACAACTTTTCAAAATCTAAATTCAAGTTCAGTAATATGTTCAAAGTGAATGGTTAGATAACGAGTTCATGCCAGTACACATAGACATTTTATACGACATCACTAATCATGTATGGATATGTGACTGGCAAGGTCGCGCCAACAGGTATATAGCTTGGTAGCCAAGATGTAGGTTAGAACCTTAATGTGCCTGCGGCATTCTGCTCGAAGGAAACCTTTATGAGGTTATGACCTTGCAACGCGGAAGAGGGAAAACATGTAATTGAGTACATGCACCGTGTTCAAATACAGGCAAGTCTCTAGTTTTATCCCACTGATGTAAGTTTGAGAACAGGCGTCTCCAGTTCAAACCGCTAAATTCTGATGTTTAAAGTTTGTTCGTAATTGTGTCCTGGCCTTTTACGCAAAACAGACTTTGTTAATGAAATGGAGGACCTCGAAAACACAGAAATCCCAATTTTGATCGTGATTGGTTCATTATGATTACTGAACTTCAACTTTGAGTACTTTTTTGAATTCTCAGTTTCAGCATATGCAAGTGCGCACCACTTGATTTCCATCCTTTCTGAAGGACAACCTCAGCCAGACATTTTTAGCGAAGTTTGTGCAGTCACAGCAGCTGCGCAATCCCTCTACGCCTGGTTTTGACTACTGTTCCAAGTCGATGACCAGTTATGATCTATAATACTGTCGTGTTCTCTCTCGCCGAGATTTTCCGTGCGAATTTATATTGCGGTTGTCACAGATGCTGCAGTCCATATGATTGAGATTCTCAAGAGACAATTTCTTTACAAGTGAGTCTTCCTTTTTACAAGGCGTCTACTGAAGGAAACATGGCGTCTTCTCCAGCTGTGCAGTTGAAATCGCCAGTAGTTACAAATTCGCACAGCCATTGTTTCCCTATGGATCAGTAGGCTGTTTGTCAGAACCTTGCCAACTCGTACCCTCGTGTGCTCATGTGTTTGGTATTCTTTGCTCTTCATCCGATTTTCAGAGGTTTCTTGCCGTCTTGAAAATGCTCGTAGTCAGAACCAGACGTACCTTATCGCTTTACTGCTTTACTGCTTTGTTGTCCGTTTTGTAGCTGCTAAGTTTTGTTTTGCAATTTGCAGAAGATTGTTTGCAGTTAATTTGAAATAAATGTCTTGTTTCTTCATTCTTCTATCTTCTATCCATAAACGCTAGGGGTGAGAGGGAGGGGGTAAAGAACGGGGTTGAGGGTCGCGCTGAACTCTTACCCGGGGGGGGGGGTCGTATTCGGCTAATTTGGGTGGGGTTTAGAGACATAATTGGAGTTTGGAGCTTAATTAGGGCTAATTACAGTATGCCGCGGCAGACTTGCGGAGCAGAAAATGGCAGGGCTCCGGAGCAGAAAATGGGAGGTCTCCGGGGCAGAAAATGGGAGGTATCCGGAGCAGAAAATGGGAGGTCTCCGGAGCAGAAATGGGAGGTCTCCGGAGCAGAAATGGGAGGGCTTCGGCGGACGAGTGGCAGACCCACCGCTGGGGAAACGCCGCGACCCTGCCATTTCTCCGGCGGAGGGGTCCTATCCGCTGTCTGAGTAGGAGTTTGAAACGCAATACGTACCGGGGTTGAACAGACGATTTTTCGTATAAATCGAGTAATTGCAGAGTGTGGCTTAAAAAGTATGTTGCTTGTCTCGCATTGCAACAGAGACAGCTTACCAGATGTTCATAAGGAATGGATAAATCTACATCAAAATAAATTGCTCTTAGAGGGTTCTGCAGAGCGATACCGTCATTATAGTAAGGCAACAAAACAAAGTCTTTATGCAATGATTTTATTCAAGTAGTTAGCATTTTGAAGCAAGGAGCTGCCGTCTTCGCCAGCATAGTTACTAGTGCTACATGCGGCGCTTTTTACGCTGCTGCGACTCTTAGTGAGACTAGGTTATCTTGAACATTACTTACAAATTACAGTAAGAGGTGACACACATTGTGGTACTTGCATTTTTTCCTAACAATCTGATAATCGAATTTTAGCAAATCATGAAAGTCGAATGATTTTATTTGTGTGATTGAATAAATCATTCTAAAAGTTTAAATAATCGTATGTTGACTTTATTTTTTGACTAGCTGGCTTACCCGGCTCCGCCGTATCCGGACCAAACTTGGCACACATACACTTCGGGCCCCGGCGGGTGTCACAGTCCACTTTTCGTTATCGATCGATGTCGATTTTACCGATTTTTATCGATTTTTTTGCAGAGTTCACCTACAGGGCTAGGAGTTGGCACAGGGGGGTAATCGAGCATGGGGATTCCGAATACAATATTAGTTTTCAGAATTATCTATTACTTTTATTGATTTTATCGATTTTTTGTAAATTTTGACATGCGCGGCTGGGATTTTGCACAGGGGGGTAATCGAGCATGCTGATTACGAACACAATATTAGTTTTCAGGATCGTCCATTACTTTTATCAATTTTATCGATTTTTTTGTAAAGTTTGACCTGCGGGGCTGGGAGTTTGCACAGGGGGTAATCGAGCATGCAGATTACGAATACAATATTAGTTTTCAAGATCGTCCATTACTTTTATCGATTTTATCGATTTTTTGAAAATTTGAGCTAGGGGGCTGGAATTAATTTGGCACAGGGGTGTAATCGAGCATGCTGATCACCCCCCTTGGGGATGATCAGCATGCTCGATTACCCCCCTGTGCCAACTCCCAGCCCCCTAGCTCAAACTTTGCAAAAAAATCGATAAAATCGATAAAAGTAATCGATAATCCTGAAAACCAATATTGTATTCGGAATCCCCATGCTCGATTACCCCCCTTTGCGAACTCCCAGCCCCGTAGCTCAAACTTTGCAAAAAATCGATAAAATCGATAAAAGTAATCAATAATCCTGAAAACCAATATTGTATTCGGAATCCCCATGCTCGATTACCCCCCTGTGCCAACTCCCAGCCCCGTAGCTCAAACTTTGCAAAAAAATCGATAAAATCGATAAAAGTAATTCGATAATCTTGAAAACCAATATTGTATTCGGAATCCCCATGCTCGATTACCCCCCCTGTGCCAACTCCCAGCCCCGTAGGTGAACTTAGCAAAAAAATCGATAAAAATCGATAAAATCGATATCGATCGATGGCGAAAAGTAGCCTATGACACGCGCCGGGGCCCGAAGTGTATGTGTGCCAAGTTTGGTCCGGATCGGTTCAGAAATGGAATTTTCTATTCGGAACATACGTACACACAGACATACAGACAGACAGACAGACAGACAGACAAACAGACATTCAGCTTTATATATAAGATTCTCTGTATAATCGAGATTGAATGAATTCGATTCTTGCTTGTTTTGATTACTCTAATATTCGATTCGCTTTGAAGTACATCATGAGCATTAAAACCGAAATCCTGCTTGTCAAAGTAGTTTGGCTAAAGTTGCGAACAGTACGGCCTTTCAAAGAGTACAATAAAAGACTGGTCAAGCTTGCAAAAAACATGTTAGTGAATATTTATGGTTTTGAAAATTCCTAGAAGTTTTGCACTGCCTTAGTCAAGATCACTGTCCCTTCGGGTATACTTCCTATCCATCTTTATGACGTTTCTTCGTCGCTAAAACTGTCCGTAGACTATACCACCGAGGAAGCCTGTAAGCTATTGCCCCTAACTGGAGTGCTACCAATAGGAAGGTGCGTGACTTATTTGTAAAGAATTGCTAAATTAAGATGGGCTTTCCTTATAGGTTTAACTACAATTCTCAACTATGGACTTGTTTAATGAATGGCAGTATTCTGCTTACTAGAAATTTGCTTTTCATATGATCAGTGATGCTGTAGAAGCTGCATAGAAGAGCATGGTCAAAGCAAGCAATTTTTGAAAAAAATTGAGGAATGTTTTATTGCTGATAAAGGCGCCGGCGTGCTCGGTTACGTCGCTTTCTGCGTTTATCATGGCATTCACTACTTTATCCACTTCCCGCTATCAAGATTGTATCAGAAAATTGTCCAATCTATGTAGTGGTGCATTTTTAATCTTTGCAATTAGCAAAAATGAAAGCAAGGCATTCCCGATGCTGTCAACGAGTTTCGGGTTTTTCGAGATGCAAATGCGGAGAACTTTACTAAAAATCCAGAAAACATAAACGGGGCGCCAATGCACATGTGCAGATTAAGCTAGGCGCAGAGATATTTGAGTCTGAGCCTCAGTGCATACATACAGTTACAAACATCAACTTGTAGCTCATTCGTTGATCGCACGAACTGGACATCACTACGGAGCACGCGCCGCGAGGTAAAACGCTTGCCCCAGTACAAATTCGCCATTGTACAGATCGTGCTCTCGCAACATTTTAGCCGTGCCGCACTGGTCCGCAGCGTTTGCCGCAGCGTTTGAGCAGTCCGTGCGGTCAACGAATCAACGATGCATTCGAATTTATAAATATGGAGGACTTCGTGCTAACCTTTCTAAGTGGTAGCGGAGTCTTTTGATGTGGAGCTTTTGGAGCTGGAAGAGGCATCTGCAAATATGTCTGTCAACACTAGTTGTGGAATCCAGTGCAATTCAATCCTTTCTTAGTCCAGAAGTTAATCTACAAAAGGAGTATAACCGCTTGGATTAGTGTTTAACCGATGGACGTTTTATGTGCCGTCTTAAGAAAGCCAAATCGATAATCGAAGATTTAAACGATCACCTTTGCAGGTTATGTGCTCAAAAATTGTAAAAAAAGCGTTACCTGTCAATTTTACCGATGCCGGAGACTTCAGTAAGTTGAAAAAAAAAGAGGGGGCTTTAATATGTTTTTTGAAAGCGAAAAGAAAGAGGCAAGCGCTAGATTTCCCACTTGCAAGTGCATATTTTCCTTTCCAAGGGGATTAGGAAACCGGACCAAAGTTGTTGGTCTACATCTGGCCTTTACTTAAAGATGAGAATTGATCCGATGTATCTTGAGTGCCGCTGCCTTCATTCTCCGTTTAAAGGCGATGTGAAGCGAAATGCTAGCATTGATTGAAAGACGGCGAATTTGCGACATGCATCGGCCATCAAAACCTCCTCTCTATCATAACTTATAATAACGGGCTAAGGTTTTTTTACGTCTTTTTTGTGTGTTTATGTCTGTCCGTTACGAAATTCGAGGAGCGTGTTCCAGCCAACATGCAGATCCCAAATTTTGCATGGTGCATGCTAACAGCGCAAGTCCACTATGCAAAAGCACAAGCGGATCCGCTGAGTGGATCCCTTAAAAATTGCGCGTCAAACGGATCCACTTGGCTTCTGGCCAGCAAAATTGGACCTATATCACTATTTTTTGCGAAGTTGTGGATATAGTGCGGTTCATAATTATTAGGTTGTAGAAAAAGTTCTGCCAATCTTTCTCGTAAACACCAAAAATGAATGCGAACGCAAGGGGCTGGTTTGCAATGTGTTCTTAGTGTGCGGTGGCCCCAGCTACTTAACACGTTCAGCTCGAAAAAATGACGATCAATTAGGAAAAAAAGCCCAAAAAAGGACAAAAGATCCATAGCGCTCAGCTCGGCGGAAGGGCATATTTTTCATATTATGGACGCGCACAACCTCCAGAAGCTTGACCTAAAATTCCGTATTATACTCTGTGTATTGGCTAGGTGAAGCAATATCCGAAAATTACTTGCTCCGGTATTTGGGTCTTTTTGCAAGCAAGATATAACTCATTGAATTCAAAGTTTAAAAAATCGAACTCCCCACTTGTTTTGAAGCGCAGCTAGCTCGCTTTTTGGAAAAGAGCATCTGTAACATACCTAATCAGTAGCCTAAGGTTGTTAGTATAAATGACCAAAATATCGCTGATTGACAGCCATTCATGATGAAGGTATAAATAAAACAATTTAGCTTAGCGTCTATTGGCAAAACTTTCTTCACAACCTACTATACTAAACTCCAAATTTCAGAAGTTTCTGGACTATTTGGAAGAAACTCAAAAGCCACTGGTACCACGCGAAGGAGCACAGTCAAGAATGGAAATCGATGTCAATTTTAGGAGGTGTTTTTAAGCCTAATGCGAACTTTGAGCGAATTCATAATTATACGAACACCTCAAATAAAGTCCATTTCTCATTCGCAAGTGCAATCTTTCGAGTGCAAATCTTTTGTAGAGTTACTTTGACAAAGTCTGAAACATTGCTACACATTGAACCCAATGCAGTTCAAAAAAGGATTACTTATTCCAGATGGCTCTAAATGCTTTTGGAGTCATTGCGCTTCAAAAACGTCCGTTTTTTTTTGTGGTTTACGCGCTCTAACTAGCTTTTGCCAAGTCTGTGAAATGAAATGAGCTCCATCGATAGATTTATTGTTTGGAGCCTATTTGGAAAAACCTTTGCATTTTCGTGCCGTTTTTCACCAGGTTCCAACCTTACTCTAGAGTTGGCACGATTTCGAGCCTCAAAACCCAGCTTCTGTCTCGCGCAAACATTTGATATGAAGCAGCTGCGCTGTTTGCATGATGATGTATCCATACTAAAGTTTTCGGTAATTTGCACAGCTTGTCTTGAGGCTACGGAGCTATAAACAGATAAAGGGAGGACTGCAATAATAAAAACAGTGGTTTTGGTGAAATGACGCCTGCGTAGCCAGAACGAATGCTCCACGTTGCTGATTTAATCCAGCCAAATACACTGTCCTGTGAACTTCTACATACTATGTGCTTACTCATTGTAGGGCTTTGGGAGCTGAGTGTTGAGACTCGAAATCGTGCCAACTCTAGGATAAGGTTGGAACTTGGTTGAAAACGGCACGAAAATGCAAAAAATTTCCGACCGCCAAACAAAATATCTATCTATGGAGCTTACTTCATCTCACAGACTTGGTAAAAGCTAGTTAGAGTGCGTAAACCACAAAATAAACGGACGTTTTTGGAGCACAATAACCCCAAAAGCATTTAGAGCCGTCTGGAATAAGTAACGCTAATCTTTTTTAACTGCAATGGGTTCAGTGTGTAGTATATGTTTCAGACTTTGTTACTGTAACTCTACAAAGAATTTGGACTTGAAACATTGCATTCGCAATTGGAAAATGTTTGTTTGAGGCGTTCATATAACTATGAACCGCTCAAAACTCGCATTAGGCGCAAAAAAATCTCTTAAGATTGACATCGATTTCCACCTTGTGGATCTTATATCGTTTTCGGCTATGCTCTTTCGCGTGAACGGCTTCTTGAGTTTCTTCCAAATAGTCCACAAATTTCTAAAATTTGGGGTGCTCCTATAATTATGAACCGCACTGTATGTTTGACAAGCTATTGTGGAAGGGGTGAGTGACTTTTTATACGATGAGCAATTCCGGTGCGAGGTGTGAACACCTACGGTTGTGTCAAGTCTTGCATCTCCGTGCCTAGTATACTGTAGAGAGAGGGGGGGGGGGAAGGGAACTTTTCATACGAATGCCTCCACATCATCTTTTGGCAAAGATCCAGTAAAAACTGGCACCATGTTTGGGCCTGCTGGCTTCAATCCAAAAAAAACATCTAGATTGCTTTTGCAGTACCGCGAATTTGGATAAATTTGGAAAACTTGGATACTGGAATCAAAAAGTGTTTTGCTGTGAAAAATAACACTGTGATCGTTCCACTTACGAATTTTTTAATATTCAACTCAACATAATTCGGTTTCTTTTGCAAACGTTTTGAACTGATTTGAGTATTGTCACATGCCTCTCCGACACCTTTCAGCATGATTTGGAAGTGTTACTCTTCCCATAGGGGATACTGGAGGGGAAGACGGTCAAGAGGCGCGATTTTTCTGGATGTCATCAAGTTGAAAGTCCAGATGCTATGGGGAAATTCAAAAAGTGCCGGATAAAGTTTATTGGCTTACTAGCTATTTGAAGTAACCACTTGATAAGTTTGACGACTTTTGCTAGAAAACTGACAGAAATATTTGCAAAATTGCTGTTAACTGCATTTTTATGTGTTTTTGACCTTTAACAATTTTGTTTGAAATCGATTTCAAGTGAGATTGAACCATCCCTAAATTCCCTAATATATTTCTTTCGAAATTTCAAGTAATTCTGAAACCTCATAAAGCACTAAATATGTGCTATATGCTGCCCATCTGGCAATAGGAATCGCGCATCTTGACATATCTACACCCAGTGGCGTACCCAGGATTTCGGCTCGGGGAGGGAGGGGGGCGGCAAAAAAATTTTTCAAATGAAGGTGCGTGGCGTTAGCCACACTCCGAAAATTTTTTAGGGGGGCTCCTCAACAACTTTGCGGGCCCGCAACCCCTGAAATCTGGAAAAAGGGGGCGTGGCTGACGCCACGCCCCCGAAAAAAATTTTTTTATAAGGGTAATTTGAGTTTTTAAAAAATTTAAAAAAATATTTTGATTGTTTACAAAAATAAACAAGTCATTTGCGCATTTTTATAACTCATGTAAGTAACTTTCAAAAATTTCGCGACCCATTCTCGGGGGGGGGGGGGGCGCCCCCCCCCAGCCCCCCCTCGGTACGCCACTGTCTACACCCATTGGAGGGCATGCGACTCGATAAAGCGAACTATTCATTACCACAATTGTGCCAGCTGTTTGCGAAAATGAATTCGCTGTGGCCTGAATCTTTACTATAATACGCTATTTCAACCCGATAAGCTTTATACAACAGATAAAATCAAGATATTCTTTAGTTTACGCATTTTTGATAATAAACGTTTCATTTTAGTCCATTGTAATCGATAAATGGACGTATTACCAGCACCCTAGCACACGCTAGAAGGTCAAAGTGATCGGGGAGCGTTCGTATGAAAAGTCCCCCTCCCCCCCTCCCCTAACCTAGGCGGAGTGGAGAATCTTACTCATTACGTGGATGGAGGGGGCGATGTAGGTGTGAGGTAGGTGCGAAGGCTAGGTGCGAATTCCCCGATCGTATGAAAAGTCCCTCCCCCCCCCTTGGGGTGGAAGCCATGGACTCTAGCCCACAAAATTGAATTAAATTTGACTACTTCACGAAGATGGCGCCAAAAAGAATTGGTTGCGTAAATGTTCAATCTACCAAGATTTTACGTGATCATTTGAGGAAACTTTTGCACAGAGATGTAGCCCACGGTGGTTATTGTCGTTATGGCGACTACCAGGCCATGAAAAGTTCAAAAACCAATTCAAAATTCCATTTATACTTCACGAAAAAATTTCATCCAAGCGAAAACACCGATTTTACACAAAAAAGGTCTAGGAATGGGAATCATTCGTGATAGCCTGCATAGCGTGGTGAGTTTCACTGTCACCATTATGGGGGAATGAGTAAGGCATACAGAAAATAGGGTCAGTTGAGCCTCTGCGAAGCAGAGGTGACGCACTGGTGTGTATACACAGAGTCCACAAAACACTCAAATTTCTTAGAAGCGAAATTCAGCTTGAATGGGCAGCATAGCACTTCGACTACAGTATTATGTCAAATGCACTGCATGGTCGTTCCGTACGATAATTTGATCAGGTGGATGCATGTTGCAATATTCACCGTCCCTTCTTTCTTTATCAAAAGGATTGC